TCCTCCTTCTTCTGCCCCGTGATACTCGGGGTACCAACTCATCCCCAACAGAATAATAAAACGCAATAATTCGACGCACTAAATCTGACTCACAAACCTCTTGGATGGTCTGTTTCACACAGCAGCCCACAGGAATGGTGAAATAATTTCATTAAAATGCTCCAGAAAGCACCATCAGTGCAAACGCAGTAGAGTGTTTCAGTTCAGTGACTTGATCTTATACACAAACCACATAACCTTTAGTTCTTCTTCTGCCCGACTCAGTCACAAGCTGCTGCTTTACTCTATTACTCCAACAGAGATTATTTTTTTTAGCCATCACTACTATTGTTTTTGCATTAACTAAGAGACCAGTTTATGAATCCTCCCTGCTGAGGTGCAGGACACACCAAATAAACTGTGAATGATTATTATTACACACACTGGGAACGGTGGCAGCAGCAGGGGTGGAAAAGCGTTGCTCCTCCTGGCCAGACGGTGAGCTCACTGAACCCCAAGTTGTTGCTCTGTGAATGAATTATTAAGTGATGTGTTCATAAAGTGATGTGTTTCAGGCATGTCCAGCTTGGAGGAGACCTCAGGGCATGCTGGAGAAATTACAGCAGAAGTCCTGGAAGGATGGATGGTTGGTTTACAACTCGGCGCTAATTAGCAGGCGTTCGTGGCTTGTTCCTATACAATTCATGAATACATCTTGCTAATCAAGCTTGTTAGCATTAGCTCTTCAAAATAAGGATAAGCTATTTTTTTACATAAAAAATGATTCCTAATATGAATAAAATGGGTTACAGGACAGGCTCCAGCCCTGCTGAGTCACTGGACCGACTGATTGCAGTTAATAAATTTTGTCCTTATCTCTGTTTAGCTTGAATATATTCAGGCTCCTTGTTTAAGGAGGCATTCTCAGAGTCTTATTACTCTGCAACGGACACAAAGGTCTGTGAAGTCGATCCAGCTACACAGAGTGCTTTAAACATCAGTCTTCCCTGAAAGCTGAAGCCTCCAGTGCATACGTTTTCTTGCATGAGAGCAGAAGGGCGGTGCACATAATCACATGGCTTTCTCTTTCAAATTGAACTGTAATCACTGAAGGAAGACAACGTGGAGAATTTCACTTGTTCCACCTTTGTCAGACTATATGAGCCGTTACAGAATAAAACTGTCAACTTTCCATTAATACATTTTTTATGTAGAAAATGCTCCTCGGTGTTGTACTGCATAGGACAGCCTGGTTTATTCCAGGCACCTGCAGTTTGAGCTCATGTCTTTTTAAATGTACTCGTGTAAACCCAGCTTTCAGTTGCACCAAACCAACAATTTGATACCAGCACAGATGGAAATGCGTGGGCTTTATCACTATTTAATGACTAAAGAAAAAAAACACCAGATTCAGACCATGATGCGTTACCTGCGCAGGACTCTGTGAAACACAGTCTGTGGTTCGACAGCTTGTAACACGAGGCAGTAACTTAAAAAACCTGCTTCCTCCCTGACTTTATCAGTAACGAGCCACTTCTTCTCCGTCACATGAAATATGATATATTAATTTAAGTGGAAATCAATTTAATATCTTGAAACATTAGTCATCTGGTGCGTCTTTTTTTCCATGAAAATAAACAAGAAGCTGGCTGCTCACCAGGTCTATACTGCCAACACGGGGAGAGGTGAACTCTGTGTAATCTTGGGCT